CTAAGAGAAAAATCCTTATATGCTGGAATGAGAACATTCTTCATCAGATACAGATGAATCTTTGACCAAATCACAGCAGCCTCTTTATTGATTATCCTTGTGTTTTGGAACTGTCATAGGAGAGAACACTTTTATCCAATATATATATTGAATAAAATGTTATATGTGTTATTTACTAGAGAAATAAGAAAAAAAAATAGGTGATTTTCTAGTCTTCAAGGCTTCTAATGCCTGGAAAAAAAGATGATGTATAATGTATTCCTGAAAGTATATCAAAAAAAGTTAAATTACAAAAGTTTAAAAGTATCTTTGCATAGTTTAATGAAGGCTGCTATCCCATAGAGAGCTAAACAATACTATTAAATTCCTAATGAAAGCCCACCTTGGAGATGATCCCTGATACTGCTTTTGTGAATGAAGACTCTTTGTTTTCTTTTACAATAGAACAATGTCAGACATAGGTCCAATAAGCATCCACGGGAGGCCAAAGAAGAAGCGTGTCAGAGAAAGCATCTTTCCTTTCAGGGGTCAACTGGGCAAGACAGGTCTCATCACTGCTATCAGAACTTTGAATGTGGAAAAGAATCAGTGATGGCTGCCAGGATTGAAAGATATTTAGAAGTTATAACTTCTTTAAGAACAATGCAAATAGAAACGCATGGGAGTTCAGGCGTGAGTGGGAACATGCAACCAAAAAAAATCTGAGAATCAGAGGTCAAGAAAAACAAAGTCTATGACATATTTTCTCTTTATGTTTATATTTTTCTTTGTGTGTGTGCAGAGCAGTAGTTCTCAAACTTAGCATGCATGAGAGTCACTTGGAGTACATGCTACAGCACAGATTGCTGGCCCCACCCCAGCGATTACTTTTCAGGAGGTCTGAGGTGGGTTGGAGAATTTGCATTTCTAAGTCACCTGGAGATGATGGTACTGCTGCTTGCTTGACCGGGATCACTGATTATTTTCTGGGAGATGATTCTAGAATGAATCATCTGTTACTGTTACTGGAACAACAGAAAACAGCTCTTTGGAGCCTTGACACATGGGCAGGTTGTTATCAAGAAAGGATGTACAAATTTACAAAACTCACCATGAATGTTCTTAAAATAGCCTCTCTACTATTAAGTCATAATTTTTTTCATTGGTCCCTGATAATTTGATTTTATTTTTGCATTTTTTAAATGAGGCTGGATAGTTGGCTATACTTATAAACCATGTGTTTCTTTCTTTTTCTTTTTCTTTTTTTTTTTTTGAGTTGGAGTCTCACTTGGTTACCCAGGCTGGAGTGCAGTGGCATACTCATGGCCACCGCAGCCTCAACCTGCTTGGCTCCGGCAATCCTTCCACCTCAGCCTTCCAAGTAGCCAGAACTACAGGCGCTCCTTGATTTATTGTAGAGATGAGGTCTCACCAAGTTGCCTGGGCTGGTCTCGAACCTGTGGGCTCAGGCAATCCACTGACCTTGGCCTCCCAAAGTGCTGAGATTACAGGCTGAGTCACTGAACCTGGCCCATATGTGTTTCTTAAGGAAAACGATCTCTTTGTGTTCTTTTTGGTTTCAACTAGAGTCAAAATTCCAACTCATTTTCTTTTTTTATATTAATTAATTTTATTTTAAAGAGATGGGGTACAAACAACTCATTTTCAATACTTGATTTAAACATCTTCTTCCTGTGAAGTTCTCCTGACAGACTTACCTATCACACCTAGTTTGGGTCTCCTTTTTGTTTTTTTTAGTTGGAGTATCACTCTTGTCACCCAGGCTGGAGTGCAGTGGCATGCTCATGGCCACTGCAGCCTCTATCTACTTGGTTTAGGTAATCCTTCCACCTCAGCCTTCCAAGTAGCTGGAACTACAGACGCACAGCTGGTTTTGGGGATCTATTGTAAAGATGGGGTCTAACCAAGTTTCCTGGGCTGGTCTTGAACCCCGAGGTTCAGACAGTCCTCTCACCTCGGCCTCCCAGCGTGCTGGGATTACAGGCTGAGCCACTGTACCCAGCCTGGGTATCCTCTTCTAATAGTAATGTGTGTACACATTTACTACTGAGGACATCTATCCTGTATTATAACTGTTTACATTCCTATCTCCCCCAGGGGACAACCAGCAACTTGTGAAGCTGGATTGAATCTTATTATTTTCCTCAGCACCTATCTGACTGCCTGGCACAAGGTCTGTGTCAATTATTTAATGAATAAATTAATAAAGATCACTGAAGAGTTGATTTTGACTTAACATGGATTTCATCAAGAGGGTATAACTACATTTGGTATAAAACAAAGAAGAGCCTAAGCCTTTGGATAAACATTTGAAGCTTTGTTTAAAGTAATATACACACTAATAGGACCGTATGTATAAATTCACACTACTAAACTGCTAGAGAATGAAATATGGCTGGTAACTGTTTGCTAACAAACAATCAAAAAACAAAACCAAATGAAATCCAAGCCCTTTTTTTTATTTGAAAAAAATTAATTTTCTCTGCAAAATATTATAAAATTATGTTTATTGACTCATCTGGGGCCTTTTCAAATTATCTGGACAATTATTATAACATCTCTCTCCAAAGGAGAGTATTTTTCTCCAAAGGAGAGTTTTTTTCCTCTGGCAAAAAAACACACCTGTACTTACACATTAAACATACAAACAAAACTTCAAAAACAAATGCATTTTTTTCATCATTATACTCTCAAATTATACTTTGGGTATTCTTATTTTGGCATTTTCACAGTTTTTCTATACAAAACAAACCACACACACACACACACACACACACACACGCACACAAACACACACACCTGTATTTATATCATCTCTGAGATACTGGAAAACCACGGGTGAAAAAAGATGAGGTTGCTGTTAAGTTGAAAATAAGGTAAATTCTCTTGTCTTCGGAAGGGATTGCTGGCTGGAGGTCCCAAGCCCACTAAACTATAGAAGGCCCTGAATTTCGGAGTCCAAGTGTGTTGGACACAAAGGGACTGTGGAGATAGTGACACCCCCTCTGGCCTCTCAGTCTGTCCTTTTACCAAAGGCAAAAGCTTTTCCTTGAGAAAGCTGAATTCAGAATGTCCTTCTGCTGTAGCCACATTTCCCCCACTTTTTCTTTTAGGCTATCATATTAATAACCTTTGTAAACTTTTAAACAAGTACAATTAAAGTGCTCAGCGGTACTCCTTCTGAGCTACAACCCGCTCCAGTTTTAAAAGTGAAGCTCTCAGGAGCCCCAAGGTGTCTCCACCCACCGCAGAATATGGCTGTAGTAGTAGCTGTTCAGGTCAGTATTAAAGCCATTGCTAGCACTCTCAACTGAGGTTGACGAAGCCCTGGTGAGACAGGAGATAGCCAGAGAAAGGCTAGGCAGACAGATAGTCAGATCCTCTGGTAACGACATAGGGAACTCCCAGCTGGCCTCCCTTAAGTACTCATTGCTGGGATCAAAAAGCAACCAATCAGCTCACCATTAGGCCTCTACCTGCCCATGGGTCCTTAATATTAACCAATCAGAAGAGCTACAGCTGACAGCTAGTACTAGCCAATTGGCTTGGACTTAGGGTTATATAAGCACCAGGTTTTCGGCCCAGACAGGCAATCTTTTTCTGTTCTTTCTCAGTGTGGGTGTCTTTTTGTTCTCTCAACAAATTCTGCCGTCTAACTTTCTGGCTGCCCATGTCCCTCATTTTTCCTGGGCATGAGACAAGAACCTGGACCCTGAAGAGCTGTGACCTGGAGAGCTGCAGAAGATTACTGGAGCCAAAGAGCTGCGCACTCCAGAGGCTGTGCGCCACAGAGGCTAGCTTGCCAGCCGTCGCCGGCTGAACCAGGAGAGCTGTTGGTAGAAGGCGAGGCTCCGAAGCTGAAGCACTCCAGGGGCGAGGCTTGCCAGACCACTGAACGCGCAACGCTCTCAGGCTTGGCTTGCCAGCCCATTAGAGCCAACGCTTTCGGGGCAAACCAGCCCCTCGAGAGGATCCTCTCTGGGACTTGGCTGGCTGACCCATTGAGCTGAACACCCTGGAAGCCCAGGCTGACCTGAAAAATCTGCATCACTGGCTGGGCTTTTTGTTGTGCCAAATGCCCTGTTGTGTCATCCAGCCAGACAGTAAAACATGGCTCCCTGGTAAATCACACAGCACTGGTTTTCAGAGCAGCACAGTTTTTTCAAAAGAATCCATCAATACGATAAGCCTTTTTCCAATGAAAATTCCAAAGACGGAAAGAATATCGTGCAGCCCACTCCACACTTTTGTTTCCTTTTGACACCTCGTCTCAATACAAAGACACTGAACTTCCAAAGACAGTAATACAAATTAATTTTTTCTGAGTTGTTGGTTGCAGTCATGTCTTGCCCGTATCTACTCACACCTTGGGGTCTCCACATGTGGCAGCGAGTTTTCGCCAATGTAGGCCAGAGAAGCCCCTCCAACTGCCCAACCTAGTCATATTTCCCAGCTCCCTTCTCTGAGAAGCATCTATAGTTCAGGTGATCCTTAGATAACTGGAAAAGAAAATAACTAAATGGGAAATGATGGTATGAAATCAACAAATCGGGTTTCACTAGAAAAGAACAGACTACAAAATTGTTATGATTTTTAAAAGCATCCATCACATAATTGTGAACAGTGGTATTTATACTGTGTTTAAATAAAGACCTATAGGTCTCAAGACCACTCTAAAAAAAAAAAAAAAATAGGGCTCGCAAGTACAGATATTGGGACAATCAATATCATAGCTTTAAGATTTTTACCATTGTTTACGATATATAAATTTTCAGTTGCTATAAATAACACAAAACCAAAAAAAAAAAAAAATGCACCGAAGGAATTCATGACCATAGTGAGGCAACACATTGTTAAGACTTATTAAATACTTTAAAAAATAAAATAGATGTTTTAGTTATGGGAGATAACTTTTAAGGATTTAAGTTAAGGTTTTTTTATCACACTTTTTTGATTGAAAACGCAATATATTCCTCAGCTTACCAGAGCACATAAAATAGTCACAGACTGGATTCCATATTCATTTTGTAGAAACTGCTGTGCCAATTCCTATACATAAGTGGTCTTATGAAAATCTTGTGGAAAAACATCCGAAATACTGAAGTTCTGAAAATGATGAAAATCCAAGGGTCCACAATTGAAATCACAGATAGAAACCGCAAGGCTTGGAGGTCTTCCTTTTCTTCAGAAGCTATGTTTTTCTCCTCCACATCTTTAAATGCTCCATAGTAAGCACGATACTGTTTTGAAGAAAAACAGTCCGTTAGGATACGGGAAGGTTTATGCTGCAATATATTCACTTCACCTGGATTAGAGCTTGGCGGCTTAGCTCAGAATACTCCTTTTTAGTAAATTTATAGACAGCTGGGTCACTGCAGCTGATGGGTACCAGTGAGGAGCCCAGAAAGTGGGGAGCAGACCTGGGTGGTGAGTGGAAGCTGAGGTAGACTCATTGGAGGCCCAGTCTGGTTAAGCTTCTGAAAGCTGTTCTACCTGCCAGGTTCAAGTTTCCAGATCCATGCTGGGTCATGAAGATCCTCTGAATCTTTTACAAACAGGGTCACCACATTTCCATAACTACAGAGATTCTCTTTCCAGCGAGCATCCTTACACAGACTTTCTTCAGTTCTCCCTTTTATCTTCTGCTTGCTTCCTATCCTTTCTGCCTGTCTTTCTTATCCTCAGAAATGAATCACACTTGTGAAATGTCACACGTGTGGAGACATCAATGAAACAGATGCTTTTAACCAAGGTGAAGAGACAGGAAATGAAAAGCCATGAGGTGACCTGGAAAAGGAACTACTCAACTCGTGTAGATGACTCTACTTATTCTTAGCATAGATTACTTTTTCATGGTTGACATCCTTTCTTTAGGCCTGCCAGAAAAAAACACCCACAAAAATATAAGGCTACCTTACCTATGCCCAGCCAATTCCTTTTGTCCTGATCTTCCCCGAGGCCTCTGTAGCCTCCTCAAAGCCCTGCAAACTGCCCAGACCACAGTTTTGCCTGCCTTTCAGCCAACACTGATGTCTAGACTCTCACCACCATTGCCTCTCACTCAGCCTGAGGCCAGCCACCTTTTCTTTTTGCCATTACATTCTCCATGCTTACTGATTTTCTAAATCCATAATGGACAAATTGTCTCTAATGGAACAGAAAAGTATGCAAACTCAATATTAGTAGGAGGGGACATGGACGAGAGACCAGACCCATTCAAGGCCATCAAAGACCATCTCCTGGAGAAGATGCATTTTCCCATAATCATTTCCTTACCTTTCCATTCTCTAAAGAGCATTTCAGTTGCTCCAATCTAGTGCATTTAGGCAGATGCCGTAATTGCACTCAGCTGTTACTTATATCTGGATGCCTTCTCCATCTGAAGGAAGGATGGAAACTTATATATAAAAAAACTTACCCATAACATGAATATTGTATTTCATTAAGGTGGCCAAAAGATGGTTGAAGTATGTTTTTATTAACTTTACTGACATAATACTGGATAAGAATAAGATAATTAACTAGATTGAATTTTCAAATTTCTAGTTTGATATAGCAGGAAGAAAGGGTAGAGATTATGGGATGCACTTTAGGGGTAGTTTGTTGCACATTCTCTAATACATATAACATTTTCATGAAAGTTATTTTTACCTTAGAAAACCACAGGGTGCTGGAGGTTGGAGAAGGGGCAGGGGTGGATGAGAGAGAGGGAGTGTGCAGATATAGATCAGATGTTAAGATGAGAGGTTTGACAGGCAGGAAAAGTTAAATACGACCTTGTGTAATTGCTTATGTCAGAACCCATAGAATCAGAGAAGACAACCTTTGTGCATTGAGATAACTCTTGTGTGTGTGTGCCATGTTGGTGGGCAGAAAGAATGAGTGGGCTATTCTTTCCAAAGGAGGCTGTTAGAGGCATGTAAGGGGTGGTAGGAAAGAGACGGGCCCAGACAAGAGGGTCTGAAATGGATTTAAAGGGACAGAGCAAAGGATGAGGTCTGGGTTGCGTGTTGCCTGTACTGGATAGAAGAGGGCATCATAGGCAAGAGAGGTCTTCCCAGCAGGGATGCTCAGCCAAGTTCAGTAACCACGGAGTGGACGACAGCAGCAATAGCTTCAATGACTCCTAAATCCATTAGAGGGCGTGCTTCTCACACTGATTCTTCTGGAAATCCAGCCACTTTTAAGTGCCAGGCATAGAACAATATACTTCCAATATAAACCAAGTGACTCAGGAATACAAATAAACTAATAGAATTGCCATGGATAAATACTGCATAGAAATAAAATGGTTTAATTCTACAGGTACCATTCACTTGCCCATATCCTAACTAATCAAGCATTATCAAGTATATTGAGAATATTACAGAAGAGAAATATTTTGCTGCACATGAGAAGAGAAATATTTTGCTGGGGAAAAATGGGCAAATGTAAAATAAACTCATGTGAAGTGTTTGCTCTTTAAGTCAACATAAGCATGTAGTCTATTGTCACCCGTGTACCCCCCTCAGGTACAGGCTTATTTTTTCGATTGCTAGGACCATTCCTTGGAAGAGTAGTTTTTAAAGTGTAGTAGTCTCCAATACCCATTCAGTGTGCCCACGAGGTCAAAGTTATGTTTATTACAAATATATTATTTGCTCTGTTTGCTCTCATTCTCTCACGGATGTACAGTGAGTTTTACAAGAGGCCATAAGACATGTGATGGCATCATCACTTCCATGACTAATGGGACACGTGCTTGTGTTTTCTAGACCTTTCTAAGGCTGCAGGTTGAGGGGACACATTTGTGCATTTTCAGAGACTCTTTTCAGTACTTCTGTACTCTTAACATTATTTTTCCATTTTACTTGCTATAATCTCTCTACCTTTGCTATTGTTCATTGAATCATTTTGAAATTCCAATGTTTTCTTTGCATCTGTGCAAACATACAAGACATACATTGTAAAATCTTGTTTTGCAATAATATTTTTAGAATTTTTTAGTTTTAATTTCTAAAATGATAGATGTAATCCACATAAATAAAAGCTCTCTGGGTCTTTAATGATTTTAAGAGTTATATTAAAGGGTCTGTTAGACCAAAAAAAGTTTGAGAACCACTGCCTTACAATATAACACTACCTTCTGAGGAGATTATATTTCTTGACTGATTTTCTATGTCCAGCAGGCAATAGTAATAAATGGAAATTATAATTGGTAAAAATAGTAATGATGTGAATTATTGTGGCCAGGCACTGAGTATATAATTTCAAGTCTTCATAGCTGTCTTACAGAAAAAAAGTATAGTTGTCCTTGTTTTGTAGATGAGAAAACAGATCGGAAAGGGTCAATATGCTGCTACCATAGCTAGTTAGAGATAAAATCTGATTCAAGTGCATGTCAGCTGCTAAATCCTCTAACAGGAGTCCCTAACCCCCCAGACCACAGACCAGACAGCTCAGCAGGAGGCGAGCATGGGCTAGCAGGTCTGTTGTCAGGTCAGCAGTGGCATTACACTCTCATGGGAGTCAACCCTGTCATGAACTGCATATGCGAGAGTCTCCTTAGGAGAGTCTAATGCCTGAGGATCCCTCCTCCTAACTCTCTCCCCCACCCCCCTACTGTGGAAAAATTGTCTTCCACAAAACCAGTCTCTGGTGCCAAAAAGGCTGGGGATCACAGCTCTAGAAAGGATAAGTCCTTTCTGGAAAAGCATGGTTCCTGTAAAGAATGCTGTCTGCATTACATATATTTGGAACTTTACACGTGTTTTAGAAAATCATTTTCAACTTCATCATTTCCTTCAATCCTCACAATTTCCTATGAGTTATTCAAATCCCCTTAGAGACACACCCATATGCAATGCCCTTCCCACTGTATTACGTTGCTTTCTCCATTAGACTTCCTGAGATATTCAAACTCAGGTCAAAATTTCTATGCATTTAGTTGCTATCTGCTTTTATCACAGCATAGGTGAGGCTCCAACTTTAAAATAGGGGTCTGTATACATTTTCGAGAAAGAGTTGGATAGGTTCTTTATAGCTGAGTCTATCTTTCAGGTTTTATGGACCAGGAGGCAAAATTATGGATAATTGGTAGGCCCTTATATAGTATAAGAGAAAACCTGTTTCCGCTATTTTTATTGATAAAATTCAACATGTAATAATAAAGTACTTTTTCGTAAAAAAATAAAAAAAAAATTCTTCATCTACTAAGAAGCAGAATAGTGTTTTCTTGGAATGGTATTTTTCTTAGAATAGCATTAGGCTTAATTGGAGCTCAAAGCTCTTGGGCCCTGTTATTAAACTGATTGCAAATATTCAATTGTAGGAACTATTCTTAACTCAGGGCCGCACAAAAACAGCAGGAAGGACAGATATGGCCTATGGGCTGTGGCTTGTCAACTCCTGTTTTAAAGCATGGTTCTACAAATGTGATCTCTGAATAAGGAGGTTGGGTATCACCTGGAGAACTGGATAAGGCCAAACGGTCTTCAAAAATGTCTGAATCAGAAATTCTGGGAGAAAGGGCCCACCCATACCTCTTTTTAAAAGCCCTGAGGATGATTCCAAGCATGCTGAAGTTTGGCCACTGCTAGAGGTCATCTTTGTCTATATCTACATCTAGATACCCCTAGATTGACTTGGGGTAATCCTGATCCTGCTCATGCATGATGATGCTACAGGCTTTTCTTCCCCCCACATTAAGGCCTTCGTTTAAGGGAACATAACTTTACATTTCCCCTTCATCCACCGCTGAAAGTAACATCCAGAATTGCTACACTGTGATAAGATACAACTTCCCCATTCACAGAAGCCTCAGCTCTCCCAGGTCGTGGAATTAGCAATGTAGCCGATTTAAACGTTGTTCTTGTTGCACAAGAACTCGGAGGGTGGGGAGACGAGCAGCGCAATCCGGAAAAAGTGTTCTCAAGACTCAGCCCCTCCCAGGCATCCCGGCGGGGACCTCGGCAGGCCACACTTCAAAAGGATGAGAAACTCAATCTCCCCCACTCCCCGTGAGTCCATTGAAACCTGAGACAACACGGGACTTTCAAGGCCTCTCCTTTGCCAAGATGGAAACAAAACGCGTCAAGGCAGGTCGTCAGACAGAAACCCCCGGCTGAAATACGCGTACAAACACGCAGCCTGGGACCCGTCGCCACCGTCCCGGCGGCCGCAGCACCAAAACCCGCAGCCGCGGTGCCTCGAGGTTCACGCGCGTAGTTGTTCAAAATCAGCCCCGTGCATTTGCCACTCACCTCTGCAAAGCACCCTGGCAGGATTAAGCCCTCGCCCCCGCCCGCCCGCGTCAACACCCTGGCGAAGCACCGCAGGCGCCTTTCGCCCACTACCACGAACATCGTGGGCAGGTCTGACCAAACAAAACATCGCCTAGCGGCCCGGGATCGCTGAGGAAGAGCAAAGCTCCTCCTCAGAGGTCGGAGGCTCAAAGGTGGCCCCGAGCTCTCCCCAGAGGGAAGCGAGGGGGTGGGGCTCCTGCCCAAGGGAGAGGGTCTTGCTGGGCCCCGGGGCACCGCCGGGCTCGGTCTCTCCCCTCCTTTCTCTGACGTTCCCCCTTTTCGCTCCACAGACGGACCTATGCCTGGGGGGCCGGGGAGAGAATCTCATCTGGGGGGAGGACACAGCCACAGTTCTTCCCGGCCCGGCGCGCCGCTCCTTCTGCGCGGTGCCCCGCGCTGCGCCCTCCCGCCCCGGCGCCCGGGGACTCACAATCACCGGCAGGGAGCACATGGCGAAGAGCACCGTCATGAGGGCCAGCAGCACGAGGTGGTCCAGCTCCTCCAGGGGCGGCGCGGACGCCTCCCGCTCGCCGGCGCGCGACCCGGTGCGCTCCCTGCTCTCTGAGCCAGCGCGCCGCTGCAGCCGCCGGTGCATGGCGTACAGGTTGCGCATGGCGCCCAGGTTGCACAGCACGGTGGCGAGGACCCCCAGCAGCATGAGGCTGGAGTAGAGCACCGAGTAGCCCAGCACCGCCAGCGAGGCCTCCTCGTGGGCCATCTGGATGAAGCACCAGGTGCCAGGACAGTACTGCACGAACCTCCCGAAGCCGGCAAAAGGCAGAGCGCAGAAAGCCAGACAGAAGGCGCTCACGACCGGCGCCACCAGCGCGCCCCGGCGTAGGGTGACGTGCCGTCGGTAGAAGAAGGGGTGCCCCAGGGACAGCCAGCACTCCAGCGCCATGGCCAGGAGCTGCAGCGTCGAGGAGAGCCCGAAGAAGGACATGGAGAAGGCGAAGGCTCGGCACAGCGAGGGGCCCGTCGCGGGCGCCAGCACCCCCAGGCTTCGGTTCTGCGCGTAGGCAGCCAGCACCACGGGGCTCACGATGCACTTGCCCAGCAGGTCGGTGACCGTCAGGCCACACACCAGCACGTAGAAGACCGACGGCTGGCGCGGCGGGCACGACCCCAGCCCCGAGCGCGCCAGCAGCGCCAGGGCCAGCAGGTTGCCCAGCAGGCCCGCGCTGAAGAGCACCGCGCTCATCGTCGCCGAGTTGCCCTTCTCCACCCAGGTGGTGTTGGAGCAGGGGTAGAAGGGCGGCCTCATAGCGGAAGCGCGAGGGCCCCAGGGCCCGGGTGCGAGGAGCCCTTGGCCTCCCCGCGGAGAGGCTGCGCCCCGCGGAGAAGCTGCGCGCCGCAGAGGAAGCTCCGCGGTCGTCGGGGTGTTCCCGGAGCAGGCGCCTCCGATCCAAACTCTGGGTCACACCTCTCCCCGGGGGCGGGACGCACCGCCCGGTGTTTGGCTCCTCGCCACCAGCGCAGGCATTGCGGAGCACGGAGCGGCCCCGCGGAGAGTCCGGCCCGGACGCGCGGGGCTCCCGGAGGGTCAGACCCGGCGCCCAGAGGCGGAGGGAGAGGCGGAAGGCAGCCAGAAGTCCGAGCACCACGACCAGGCCTTCCAGCGAGGCCAGGCGAGAACCCCTGAAACGGAGCGGGCGTGAAGCGGCCGCCACCGGGTAGGAGGGGCCTCGAGGTGGAGGCGGTGGTGGGGCTCCGGGATGGCCGCGAGATCTGAAGAAGAGCAAAAGCGGAGGCTGAGGGGGGCCGTCTCCTGGTTTTCTTGGCTCGGGGGTTGCGGAGCAGTAGAGCAGACGTTTGTATAATTCAGCCTTAGCCCCTTCCTAGACCAGCGCCACGTGGTGGAGCGATAGCAATCACCTCCCCTGCACAGGTGAGGACGCCGAGACCTTGAGAGGCTAGGGATCTGCGCAATGTGACGGAGCCGGTCAGGAGCAGAGTCGGACCTCGAACCCGGAGATGCTGCGTACAGAATCCCTCTGTCTTATCTCCGTGACTCCTCCTTCCAAGAGATTGACCCTGGGTACCGTGGATCACAATGACCGTGTAGACCCTTTGAAAGAGCATTACACCTGTAATCCCAGCACTTTGGGAGGTGGAGGTGAGAGGATTGCCTGAGCCCAGGGGTTCAAGGCAATCCTGGGCAACTTGGCGGGACCTCATCTCTACAATAAATAATAATTTAAAAAAATTATCTGGGTGTGGTGGCATGCTCCTGTGGTTCCAGCTACTTGGGAAGCTGAGGCGGGAGGATCGCCTGAGCCCAGCAGGTCGAGGCTACGGTGGCTGTGAGCAGCGTGCCACTACACTCCAGCCTGGACGACAGAATGAGACTCCTACCCCCCAAAAAAAGCCTGGGTTTAAGCCTTGGCTTTCCTAGTCATGGCCTCGGAAGGACCTGCTCAACCCCTGGAGCAATAGCATCTTTCTTTTTCCTGCTTGGCTCTTTGGAGGCTTAAACATCACACCGGAGGCGCGGAAACATAGCAAGTGCCCAGCGCGTGGGAACGCGGGGACTTCTCCTGTGATGGGTGTTTCGGCCGCTGATGGTCAGCTGCCGTTTTTGTTTTGCTTGGTTTGGTTTTTGTTGTTGTTGTTTTGTTTTGTTTTGTTGAGTTGGAGTTTCACGCCGTTGCCCAGGCTGGAGTGCAGTGGCACACTCATGGCCACCCCAGCGTCGACCTGCTGGACTCTGGCGATCCTTCCACCTCCGTTTGCCAAGTAGCTGGAACTACAGGCGCGGGCTATCACGCCCGGCTGATTTTTTTTTTTTTTTTTTTTATTGTAGAGACGAGGGCTCGCCAAGTTGCCCGGGCTGGTGTCGAACCTCGGGCAGTCCGCTCGCTTCGGCCTCCCAAAATGCTGGGATTACAGACTGAGCTCAGCTGTCGTTTTTAGCATAGGTTCTGAAACCAGAACATGGCTGACCCGGGTTAGAGCTTTCTCAATCCTCTGGCGTGTGACTGCTTAGAAAGCATTTCTTCCCTTCTGGCTTTGACTTGGCTGTATCATAAAGGCAAGGGAGTGAATTATGATGAGTGTGATTTATTTCTTTAATTGATGCTCGATGCCCTGGGAGAGAAACTATTATTGAATGTGGAATTTGAGTGGGATGATGACCATGTTATGTAAGCAAGCAGATTATGCCTTGGCTTGAAAAGGCTCATTTTTAGGCTCTATGCCTGCTGGGAGGGTTGGAGTCAGGGAAAGAGCAGGACCCTTGGACTTTAGATGTGAAAGCCCTAAGTATGGCCAGAGAGGTTGTCTTCAGATGGAAGGTCTTAGCCAGTAAGTCAGGCCACAGGATAGAGAGGGAGAATCCAAGCTTTTTAATTAGACTGTTCTAAACTCCACCACTCACTGTGGGACCTGGGGTTAGTTACTCTATCTCTCTGACTTTCGGTTTCCTCATAAATAGTATCTGAGGCATATGCTGAACTCATAGGATTCTCATGAACTACTGAGAAAACACAAAGTGCTTGGCATGGAGTAATAATTATAAGAGCTAACATGTATGAATCCTCATCTATGCTGGGTACTCTCTAAAGCTTTCCCATATGTTGACTCAACAGAGAGCCTTCCATAGGCCAGTTGCAGTGGTCATGTTTATAATCCCAACACTTTGGGAGACTGAGGCAGGGGGGTTACTTGAGCTCAGGAGTTCAAGAGAAGCCTGGGCAACAACATAGTGAGACCTCATCTCTAAAAACAAAAATAAAAATGAAAAAAAGAAAATAAAATAATAACTACCTGGGCGTGGTGGTGGGCACCTGTAGTCCTAGCTATATTTAGGAGGTTGAGGCAGAAGGATCACTTGAGCCCAGGAGTTGAAGGCTGAGGTGAGCAATGATCATGCCACTGCATTTCAGCCTGGGCAACAGATTGAAACTCTGGTTCAAAAAAAAAAAAACCTTTGTAGGGTTACCTCTCCTGTATCCCATCTTTTCATATCCCCACCTCTCATCTCCATCTCTAGCCCCTAGTGATTAGGAATGGGTTTGAAAAGGCCCCACTTGAGTTGGTGAAGTAGAAGAAGGAGCAGGTCGTGTGACCAAAAGACAGAAGGATCCGGTGGAAGCTGAGTTTTCCTCCTAGACAGACAGACAGACAGACACACACACACACAAACAATTTACATCAATGTCAGGATGCTCACAGTGCCCTGAAGTCCCTCTTTGGTATCCTGAGGCAACCCAGTGGGCACTAGCTGAGAACGTTGCATGGATTGTTCTTCCTCCTCATGTCTGCTGCCATTCTTTGCAGCCTTATTTTTCTGCTACAGTGGCCTCCAACTTCATATCCTTTTCAGAAACAGTGCTTAGACAGAGAGGGGCCCGAGTATGTAAACAACTTAAAAATACAAACAACCCAAAGTGTGACTTATGATCCAGCTGCGAGTCCTTGATATGGTTTACATGTGTCATGCATCGAGGTTGAAGGCTTGGAACGGGTGCAGTTCAGGAAACCACATGCTTCCTCCTGGGCACTGTAGCTGGTCTTTACCATGGGGTTTCTGACTGCCTTTCCTGCCTTCCTTGCTGTTGTCCACCCTGCCCTGTTTGTTCTCAGGCTTAACTTTGAAATTTTCTGTTCTTGCTCCTAAAAAGTTCTATTTTATAGCTTCACTGTAGAGCCAAGATAAGTCTCATGTGTTCAGGTATCGACTATTTATTGAGCTCCTACTCTGTGCCAGGCATGGGGAGGAGATCTGCAGGCACTGAAGTTGATATAGCAAATAAGGAAGGCAAATGTCAGGTCACGTGATCTTACAGGCTTATACATTTTATATCAGCATTCATAATAAGTAGGCAAAGCTTTTTTAAAAATCCCCCTAAGAGGAAAAATTTGGGGATTTTTTTTGGTTTTTTTGAGTTGAGATCTCACTCTGTCTCCCAGGATAGAATGCAGTGGCATGATCTTGGCTCACTGCAGCCTTGAACTCCTGGATGTTGGTGATCCTCCTGCTTCGGCCTTACTGAGTAGCTGAGACTACAGGTGCACAGCATGACATCCAGCTTATTTTTCGATTTTTTGTAGAGATGAGGTTTCCCTATGTTGCCTAGCTGGTCTCGAACTCCTGGGCTCTTGAAATCTTCCCACCTCAGCCTCTCAAAGTGCTGAGATTATAGGTGTGAGCTACTAGGCCCAGCCGAGGACAACTTAATGAAAATATCTCAGGGCCAGTTAGTGATAAAATGTCCTCATTATCTACAGAACTGGGCCAGGCTGCTTAACTGGGTTATAAGACAAAATCTGGGAAAATATGTATGACAGCATGCGAACATACTATTCTAAATATATGATTATGTTATGATAATGTTAGCATAAAAACTGTATTTGCTCATGGACACAGCCTAGAAGTTGACGTAAGTAATTTTGAAATAAAAACATTCACTTAAACTGAGAAGGGATGGTAGAAAAAGTTTCTCCTTGGATTTCTGATATCTCCAATATAGTATCTGTAGTAATTATTTTCGATTTTAAACATAAAACAAGTGTATGCTCATGGGCAGGTTTTAGGAAGGGGAAGAAAAAAAAGAATAATTTTTTTTGGATCCAGTCTTTTCTAAATTCTTTTTTTATTTTTTCTTTCCTTTTTTTGTTTTTTTTTTGAGTCCAGGTCTCACTTTGTTGCCAAGACTGAAGTGCAGTGACACAATCACGACTCACTGCAGCCTCAACTTCCTGGGCTCAAGCAATCTTCCTGTGTCAGTCACCCAAGTAGCTGAGACTATGAGGTACCCACCAGGACACCTGGCTAATTTTTAATTTTATTTTTTGGAGACGAGGTCTTGATAGCAAGTTGACATAGTTGCCCAGGCTGTTTCGAACTCCTGGGCTCAAGTGTTCCTCCTGCCTCTACTTCCCAAAGTGCTGGGATTATAGGTGTGAGCCACACCTGGCCTGCTTCTAAATCTTATCCATCCCTCACTCCTATTGAACTCCAAATAATATTTTGGGCTGAGCATTGTAAAGAATAGAGGATGGAGAGTAGGGAAGCTGAAAACCAGAAAACAAAACTACTTTCCAAATTTGGAGCATGTCCTGCATGCCAGAGACCACGCTAGATGTTTCTTCGCATTCAATAGGTAAATGGTAGCACAGCGGTGTGGCTGCGATATATCAGGTCTTAGGAATCATAACTGTGTGAACTCAAATCTCAGCTGTGCACCTTGCTAGCTCTGTAGTCTTGAGCAATCTTCTAACCTTTCTGAACCTCAATTTCCTGGTCTGTAAAAAATAGGGGAA